AGGAATGCTCAGCGAGTTCGGCCCGTTTCGATTTTCCAACTCCAGCTCCTTGCACATTTCATTGTAATATTTTGCTTTGTCATCCTGGGTAGAAATCTATTTCTTCCTCTTAGGCTCTGATTGTTGGTGCATACATCTGAATAACAGGTGTTCCTTGTATACATATGGATATTCTCCCGTCCCTTACAACATTGTGTGTCAAGATGGCTCTGGAAATGGTCTTTTTAACTAAGAATGAGATCCTATTTTTCCTCACTTTTTCATTTCCTGCATACACAATCATATTACTGATTCAAAATGTTCTATGCCAATTCATCTCTTTTTACCAATGCCTGGTATGTCAATAGTTGTATGTTCCATTTATCTCTTAAAATATCCAATTTACCTATTTTCATGCTTTTCACATTCCATGTTCCAATAACTAGTGTCTGCTTGCAACCGCTCCTCTGTGAGCCAAACAGAGGGCTGAGCCTCAGATGCTATATATGCCAGTCTAATTTAAGCATGCTGTATTTTACACAGGGATTTTGAAGGCCTATTGTTTCAGAAGTGGGTGGCTAATCCTTCTCCCTAGACTGCCTTAACTTAGAGCAAAATCTGGCAGATAAACATTTTACTGGGAAAAGCAGATGAGATACACTTTCAATTTCAAAAGTAACCAATTAAGTGCTGGTTCTCCCCCCATCCCGCTTTGGCTCCTGTGATTTGATTCTGTCCTCACCCTGCTCTGCCAGCACGCCAGCATCCATTCCGCCCTTTCTGACCTCTGCCTTACCTGGTCATCACTGTCCACCCCTCCAATCACTTCTGTGATGCTGGTCTCTCCTCCTCCTGCTGCTCCACTGTCTTGAGCTTGCTACCAGCATGAGGGAGTGGAGCAGTGGCATGGCTTATATGTTATTGGCATTGTAGAAAATACTGGGGCAGTTTTGTAAAAAAGGAAAACTACCATTTGATGGAGCAATTCCAGTTCTAGATTTATATATACCTCAAAAAATTTGAAAACTGAAATTCAACAAGACAGATTGATACAGCAGCAATAACAATGGGCTCAAGAATATTAAAGATTGTGAGGATGACACAGATAAAGCAAGGTTCAGATTTGTTGTTCACAGGGTTGCTGTGAGTTGTAGTTGGCTCGGAGGCACCTAACAACAACATGGTAAACACGGCATTATTCTGGGTGGGCCTAAGCTATTCAGAGCATTTAAAAAGCTTTGTTTAATAGAAGGTGGACTCTGGCTGGAGTAACAAGTGTTAGGTTGATTATTTGAAAGTCCTCGAATCAAATCCACTAGCCTCTCTGAGGGAGAAAGACAGGGAGTCTCCTGCCACAAAGATTTATGGCCTAGAAGACCCAGGGGAAGGTTGCTATGAGTGAAAAATAACCTGACTTAAAGCAGTGGGTTTTTAGACTTAACAGCAAAACATTTTCCAGCTGGTAGAAGTCAGAGAGATGTTCTCTGAAAAACAATCATATATCTTGTAAATTATCTGTAAGAGTGATGTGACAAGAAACAGTAAGAGCGTGGTATCTCAAAGCTAAACACAGCTTCTAACAACAGCTGGCAGGAAAACGGAGACTTTAGTCCTAGAGTCACAAGGGCGTTAATTCTGCCAAGACTAGTGAAATTCTTATTCCACAGCCAAATGAGGACTGTAATCCTAGCTGACACCCTAATTTCAGCTCAGTGAGATGTAGAGTGCAGAATCCAACCAAACTGTCCCTGTACATCTAACATACAGAAACTGTGAGATAAAAAAAACAAACAGACAAAACACAAACCAACCTTACATGAAACTGCTAAACTTGTCTGAATTTATCATCAATGTCACATGCAAGCAAAATACTGCTTAAGATCATTAAAAAATGGCTACAGACTTCATCCATAGCCACTGGTGAGAGTCAGCGCCCAGAGCCATCAGGGGCTTTAAGCTCGTTGC